TAATAATAATATGCAATAATAATATGCAAATTTTTCTCAGCTTCTGTCATTGTTATTGTTAATTAGTTACTTATCTTAAATTTAAAATTTAGTAGTTACTTCTATTCTAAATGGTCACTTCTGAAGATCTATGTTGAAACATACAAAACGTCAAGTTAAATGAATTTTGTTTTCCAACATGCGTTTTATTGTCATGTTTATCACCGCAGTTTGCATGTTATTTCTTATTAAGCTACAATGGCCAAAGAAAAAGAGTATTTACAATAATAATGATAGTAATACTTGGCAAGATCCCAGGCAACATCGGAATAACAGAGATACAGATCGTCCTCCTTGGAACTGCTCACATATCCTTAGGAGGACTGTATCCATCAACTAAACCAGCAGACTTGTGACTGCCCTAAGCTCTTGGCACAATAAGTGAAAAGGGCAAGACTTACATCACCAAGGATTTACATCATCATCATCATCATCATCATCATCATCATCACCATCATCATTATAATAATGACAGTGATAAAAAATAAATGAACAAGGAGGTGACAGGTGGCAAAATAAATGAAATGGGATCGATGCTTGAATACCACTCGAGGTCACAATGAAGCGTTCCACAAGACATCAACCAACAGCACCGTTCTTTGTATTTGTTGTGGAACAAAAAACAATGCCTTTTCCTTGTGAAAATTTATTCACTTTTATAGCTAAATATAGGTTATATAAAAAAATTATTTTGGACCCAGTGGAAGCTGAAAGCTGTCGTTCGACGGTGATTCTTTTCTCTCTTTTCCACTACTTCTTTTTCCCATTTATGTCTTGGGGGTTGCAATACGTGATCGTGCAGTATCACCCTAAGATGGGGCATTCCAATACCATTTTTGGCCAGGGGAAAGGGAATTTCAATGGAAAATGTCTATTAAATTATCAGTAAGGTCTAGCGGGGTAGTAGCTCAGAGGGGGGATGTTGAGTAACCGAGGTAAATTTTCATCTCGCTTTGTAGTGCACTTTGTCCAATAATTAAATCCTGTTCTTTCTGCTACTGAAGTGAGAAAGTCGTAACAACGACTTCGCGGCTCACATCTAGCCAAGAAAAAACTTCTGGAACCTGGATAAACACTGCAAAAATTTCCGCTTCCTTGGCTCTTGTTACATAGTGTTGTATGCAAATGTCCTTGACACGACATATACATGCAGTATCCATCATTGTCACGTTACGCGTACTATAGTCATAAGTGAAAATCACAACAGAGCAGAACGAAAACAATACAAAACAAAATGCCAGCTGTATACATGACACCACAACCGCATTAGTTTGAAAAGCAATTTGGTAGTTTGTACATGCACATCTGTGATCTTATATAACATCCTGTCTTTTGATTCTCTCAGTCGAGATAAAACTTTATAATTTTGTGTGGGTGGATAAAGGCCTGAGAAAGCTTGTCAAGGGAACGCGACGAGCCACACGATCGGTGAAATAACAGAGGCGTGAAATTACCCGCTTTAAAAACATAAACAAAGCAAGGAATGTCAGCTGCTGATTTCTTCGACATATGACATCGAAACGCGCTCAACAATCGAAAAATATAAACATCAGAAACACGCGATTGTTATGGTCATGATTTCTAATTCTACACAAAACAATGATTTCTTGCGGGAAATACTAATTTACTCACCTCGAACAAAACCAATATTTGCGTAGATTGTCAGGAATGCAGCCAGCATTAACACCGAGCCAGCCATTAGTCGTAGGAACGAGCCGTCTAAATGAGCCCTCTGTAAACGATAAAGGTTTACCAACTTAAACTACGATAGAAAGGACGTGAAATTGGAGTTGTGCGTGCTACGACGCTTTAGCTGCTCGAAATAAACAGAGCGCAGGCTGCCTCGATATCATATTTAGCACGTGTCCCTTTTGAACTTTCAGCCGTTTTGAACCTTGTTCAACGCCAAAATCGTTACCAGAGCGGAACCGTTCCTCGCGACAAAATATGCTCGACTTACTATCTGTACTCTAAAACATACTTTTCGCCTCCAATTGCCGTGCGAAGATTAATTATTTATGACATGCAGGAAACATTAAATAATCAAATAACATCTAATTGTTGAAACACCGAACAAGATTAAATTGATCGCTGAATAAATTTTAAACACTGTTACATTGACAACGATGTCGAAAACCTCGAGGAAGAATCCTAGGTGATAATTTAAAGGTCTCCACATCTCAGCTAGTAGACCAGGTGTTTCAAAATATGGGAAATAAAGACCAAGCAGATCTGAAAATATCTGGTTATCTACAAACAATTAAACAGTCTTTACCTTCTACTAACTTGCCTTCAGTAACTACGTAATATACTGCTTGTAGAAACCGGCGATTCTTTTTTCTATTACTATTTTATCCAAAGACCTACGGTGTCGATAAACGTTCGAACATAGCCTGAGTTTTAAAAGCTTGATAAAATGAGTGTAAGTTATCTCAAAATGACTGAAGTTGTAAAGCTTATGTCAGTTTCATTCATGATCTCTTATGACAACCGTGTGATATTTGTTACGTCACAAAGTCACGCTATTCTGGATTTGTAATCTCTAAACCATGTTTGATATTGTTGAAAGACACGCAACAAAGAGACTAGAGAAGGCAAACTCGCTCCGCTTACAGCGGAAAGCATCGCCGTTGCTTGTGGTGGTGTTAAAATGACCAACATTCTTCGCTACCTTTTTACTCCCCTCCCCCCCCTCCCCCACCCTCTTTGTTAAAACGCCGCCCTCTGTATCCTTCACGAGAAAAAGTCAATTTTCATTCACTCGCTGCACTCGTTCTAAAATATTGTTTTCACCACTAGAAAATAAGTTCATATCTTCGCTGCTGCGTAATATCTTCTATGAATAACTACACTCTTCTTTTTATAAGAATACGTTTTAAAAGAATATTGAGGCTGAAATTTGCAAAATCAGTAAGAATATTTTAAGAATAAACCCAAGGCTGAGATTTTCAAAAGAACTGTAATTTTGTGTTGAAAATTTGTTGACACAATACAGTTATACGTTTCCAACTAAACCGAATAAAATTCTTCCTTTCTCTAAGCGGCAAAACTAACCAAAAAGCAACAAGAAGAGCACTAGCCGTGTGCGCAAGAAGTTATGTGCGTCAGGTCAGGCTTAAATGCCTGCAGGCTGGCTACAAAATTACTTTAATACCATCCAGACACCAAATACATTCGGAAACAGAAATGTTATACGCTATAATCCAAGAATATTCACAATAATATTTTCAGCCTAAGAATATTCAGCCTCGGCAGGAAAAACAATATTCTTACAAAAAAAAAAAGTGTAAATAGGGCCACGAAATGACAAACTATCCGCGATTTCCTCGAAATCGGTGACGGAATGAAGGAACTATTGCTGAAGGGAAGTTTCCATGGATCACTGAATGAGTTATTAAAGCCCACTGTTAACGCAATGCAATTGTCTCCCTTGTTTCCTGTTTACGCAATGCAATTGTCTCTTCTGCCCTGAAGCAAAATATTCTTAGAAAAAAAAAGCAAAGGAAGTACAAACAAATGACGAACATCGTCGTGTACAGGAAAACGTCGCGGCAGATTGCGAGCCGCAAAAACCTTGCTAAATTATGAATGTTCAGGAATGATGGGACGCCGGAATACTGATCAGAAAGCTGGAACGTTTAACTCAGCTTTATCTCAGGTCAAGCGTCGAAGACGAACTAAATTGCAATTTGAGTCGATCCAAACGGAGCTGAATGGGTAAAACCCGACCGTTGGGTCAAACGTCAAACTTAATTCGAATTTAGATCGATCGTTCTATCCGATTGTCTTATAATTATTGTATTATAAACTCTCCTTCTTGTGCGTCATATTCGTAGTTCCTCATTTTGTGCACTCGCTCATCCCATCCACACGGAAATCGTATTACCACAAACCATTTCAACTGAACTGACATGATCAGTTCTCAGAAAGTTTACTTTTCTGTCTTCTTTTTCTTCAAAGCCAAGACTGTTCGCGCACTGAATGTAATGCAAAGGGAGGAGGGCCGGGGATGGTATCCCTGGGAGGGTCTAGTGGTTCCCATCTACGAGGGGTACGGGGATGGGGGGAGCAAGGTCCTAGTTCCTTCATTCTACTGAACTAAATCAAGATCAAGAGTTCATAGTCTCTTGCAGAGATAAAATATTTTAATGTCAAATCTTTAAAATTTCTGTAAAACACCCGCTCTATGCAGAGCATATCGTTTCCAACTGATATAGAAATCTAGAAATCTGAAAATGCCATGGTCATGGCTTCCAGTCGAATGAATAATTCGAACATGTCGAAGAACGTTTAATCTTTAAATAGCTGAGAAAATTCCTGCTCTGTACTTACTTACGGACCTTTCGGTCCGAAATTCTGACGTGAAAGGGTTTACTTTCCTCATAAGGCATACTTTCTTACAAGGCCTCAATCATTGGGTCAACAAGTTTTCAGTTTCTCTTCATTCCAAGGTGTTAAGCCTTGTTCTTATATCCCGCCGACCTACCTGCGACGTAGTCGCCGGTTACAACTGACAACTTTCGGCGATCTGTTCCAGTGGGTCCCCCTGCGATGGATCGCCGACATACTCAAATTTGCGCGAAATGCAAATCGAATTGGCGCAATTTTTCAACCATTTCACCTATAAATGTGGATCGAATCGTCTTACTGGAGTACGTTGCGTCCGCAGATGATGTTCACATAAAATATTTTCATCGCCGACAACCGGCGGCTTGCCTGCGAAGTTGAACTCAGCTCAACTTCGCAGGCAAGCCGGCGGTCATTGCCTGGGACAGATTATGATTCGGCGATAAATGTTCACATATGCCGTAACGGTGTCCCAGGCCGTTCCAGGTATGTCGGAGGCACACGAGAACCAGGCTTAATAGTCCCTCCCCGATTCCTGCAATTGATGACCGTTATGGACTAATTGATTTACGTCAGAGGGCTTGACACGATATTCCATTGTCCAATTCAAGTGCTATAAATAATCGCTGATAACCTCCAGACTGACAAGGTTTTCCTGCTGCAGCTAAATGTTCCCTTATTAATAAGCCTTCGCAATGGCAGAAGTGCATTTAAAGTGGCACCACACATTTCTGTTCCTTTTCCAAGCTATTTTAACAATAGCGGACACCACTACCGATATTCTAACCAGTCTGGAATACAAAGAACGCGGCCATCAAAAGTGGTTTGCAGTGAGTCTGAGCATAACACTGATCACTCTCACCGTGCTGTGTGTTTGGTCGATCATTGCAACTACCAGCCGTGCATGGGCACAAGACACAGACGATGTCGAACGGCTAGAGCCAACCGCCAATCCTGACGTGATATTCCGTAGCACCGGTATCAATGTGACTCTCAGCTGCTTGTGCATGGGTCCGCCGTTACACAGTCTTCAGCTGTTCTTCTTTTGCGTGTGTCGCTTCAAAGAGCTTTGGAAGTCGAAGAATGGGCTGCTCGTCGAGAAGGATCGCCTCTACTACCTGTACGTTCACACGCTCAATTTGAAAATGATGGAAGGGCTTTTGGAGAGTGCTCCGCAGCTGATAATACAAGTCTATGTTATGTTACATGGCGTAGAGAGCGGCGATAAAATTGCACTTATCCAGTGGATCTCCGCGCCGATTTCCTTCCTTTCGCTTGTCTGGATGTTCACGTCCATGGAATTTCTGCGTGAATTTGCAAATTACAGCATGAAGTTTGCACACGGTGTGCTAATCTTCCTCAGCAATGCTGGAACTATCGCTGCCCGGACACTGGCCATCATCTTTTTCACCCGTTTGTTTCCGTGGTGGGTTCTTCTTGTTTTCTTTGTCCATTGGCTTATAATCAATTTAATCGGATTCTGGCTGTGGCGATCGAAACGAAAGCAAGACATGTTTATATTCATTTTCGCGTATTCTCCCTTCTACTTATTCGTTTACAACTCCTACTATTTAAAAAAGCTCCGGGGCAGTGCGCCTTTCACCGTGGCGGTCCAAAATATATCAGCGATCTCTTGGCACATACTTTTCACCGTGGAGAACATTGCCATGATAACTGCTTACTATTTGGCATCGCATGAAGATGACCGGTTTGGTGTTCCTGCCCTTGTTATTGTTCTGATTGGGAATGTTGGAGGGCTATTTTTGAAGTGTATGTCGTGGTGCTGTTGTTTTAACGAATACTCGACTGAAAACGAAACTTTTCGAAGGCCTATGACAATTGTCTTAAAATAGTGAAAGTGGAATCTATTGGTGACATTGAACTGCAATCTGCAACTTTTGAAACGATTAATTTGAGCTTTGGAGTTTTAAAACGGTCACTTTGGCGGACAAAATGTCATCATCACTGCCTAGAACTCTCTAAAAAACACTAGAGCTGCGAAAACGTACTGCTTGGACCTCTCCAACAAATATTTGATGAGCACAATAATTTAAATCAAGTTTTCAAAAACACTGTCGCGTCGGTTCAGACTCTTTTAAGTGTGTATTTGATTTCTTGCATTAATGATTGGAATATAAGTAACTACAAAGTCATAATAGGCAGTGCTACAAAAAATGAAAAAAGGCTTCTTTGTCGAGGTCAGTATAATGCCTACCATTTCTTCTTTAGACCTAATCAGGTTCATGTATAAACTGACTGTCTCAAAACTAAATTTCCGCATCTCTCGTGACAATCTGTGTGCTCCATTTCTTCAATAGACAAAAGGTCTGACATATTGACCTTTTATTTTTTCAGAGATGTGAAGAAATTGTTTTGAAATTTGAGTAGCTCATAGTTTTAGACGTGAGGAAAAAAAACTCGCTTCTTAATTCGGTGATCTCATTGATATAAACATCTCTCTCTACGTGCGTAGCTAAGAGCGCTGAAACTATTTATTTTGTTAACTTATGAACGTGTTAATGTGACTGTTCTAAACCCAGTTAATTATGCGGAAATTTTCCGAGCTTTACAAAAGCCCCGTTAATTAGCAGCAATTAACCGCTTTACTTGAAGCTTTCGCTTTTATTGAGGCTTTCTGCTTTAAAAACCTAAGGCATGCTAAGGCCTAGCATCAGCCTCTAGAGACATAGATCTTCAGTTTTCGTTGATTATTAAGTACATCACGCCTAATTAGCCTTCATATATAAGCTGTCCACTGCGTTTTGATTTAACTACATGACTAAATTTTATAACCCTTTCCGTTGTATAAGAAATCAAAACATGGTTTCAACAACGATAACAATCCTTGGTGTCGTCTATTCCAAATTGTCAGATGTTCTCTGGATGTTACAAGAGTCCCTTCTGGGCCTCTGCTCGATATTCGTCTCTCTGTCGCGTTCGGTCTTTGTCTCCGCTCCCCTCCCCCCACGCCCCGAGAGGCTCGGAGGAGGAGTGCGGGCTCGTTTCCCGAGCAGCGGCTGAAAATAGAGCCCACTATTACTTTGAGCACCTACGCTTTTAGTTCACCAAAGACATCAACACTAGCAGTGAACTCCAGTTAAGGGAGACGGAAAATACTTCAAGATGGCGGGCGGAAAGTTCGAGATAGCAAGGCTCAAAGGTAGAATGTTAAAGGTGGGGAAAGTTTTAATGCTTTCAATTTATGCTGCGTTAATTAACAAATTGGTCTTCTTACAGGATTGGCCCGTGGTAAATAAAATTTCTCCAGTCCTAAACCAAGGCTCAATCAACAGCCGCTGTTTGTGAAAGGAGCCCGCGCTCTTTCCCCTCTCTTTAACAATTAGATTATGAGCTCAAGATTCCTATCGGCCTCATAAACTATCACCTCATAGAAACCGAGAGCGAATAATCTAATTGTTTTAGTAGAGTTCTTAGTAAAATGTACTTCAAATAGCGGTTTCCAATTATTTTTTGACGTATTATTAAACTTTGCGCCTGAAGAAGATCGCTCGGATTGAAGTTGTGTGCGGGCGTGCATCAGTTCTTTCAATAATTTCAACTTTTTTAAAAGCCAAGAAACCGTAAATGACCTTCGTTTAGACTTCTCAGGAATTTAATTATCCATTTGAATCAAAATTGTCCTCTAAAACTTCGGAAAACGAAAATAAAAACGTCGTCATTTCCTAGAAGACCTCCAGCCACTGCACACTAAT